ATAACTAGGTTCTTAATATCTCTAACAACAGCTAGACTAACAACAAGCTTAGAGTTAAGTAGTTAAAGCACTTTAATAAGCACACAAAGGCGCGCACTATTAGCAGCTATTAGCTGCTTATTTAAGACAGCCACGAGAGCCATAACTTAGTTAAATTCTACTAGTACTGCGAGGAACACAAGATTATTACCCTTTGTATGCCTCCACACTTGTCGCACCTACTGCAGCCACTTGACGTAGGCTGTTTTGCCCTATTAAAGAAGGCCTATAGCTGCCAAGCCAAGCAGCTGATGCGCAGCAAGATTACTTGCATCACTAAACTTAAGTTCTTGCCGTGCTTTAAAGCAGCTTTTGACGCCTCTATTACAGAGAGTAATATCTAGGGAGGATTTAGAGGTGCTAGCCTAGTCCTACTTAACCTAGAGGCTGTGCTATTAAAGCTTAAAGTACAGCTACGCACGCTAACGCTACCTACTGTGGACAACAGTACGTGGGAGTCTAAAACACTAAGCAACACTATAGAATTTAGGTCTTAATTAAAGCTAATTTAAGAGAGGATTTAGAGACACGCTAATAGCTTGCTTACATCTATAGTTAATGCTCTTAATTAGCTTACTAAAGGCGCAGAGCTAATAGCGCATTTATTAGTTTTAGTGCGCAACTAGGTTACTGACCTACAGGCAGCTAACAAGGCTGCTACACGTTGTAAATTACACAAAAGGAAGCAATTATAGCAAGAGGGGACTCTAGTCTTTGCTAAGGGAGTGCAGCTAACTACTCTAAAGGAGTTTAAGGCCTGTAGTAATAGGAAGAAGGTAAAGAAGAGGTTGCGTGTTAATAGGAGCACTTAGTCTCTAAGGCGCTGTAGCATATGTAGCAAGATAGGGCACAACGCGCAAATATGCAGTAAAGATACACAGAGTACTACAGACTAGTTTAGTATACTGTGTAGTATAATATATTATAGTTGTGTGCTGTAATGTTGCAAAGTAGGTGCAGTATTGGTATGGTCTTGGCAAAAGTGGCCAGCTCGCTTGGGTGGCCAGCTCGCTTGTGGAGTACGTTACTTAGCTTTAATATTAGCTACTAGGCCAAACTAGCCCTAGATTACCTCAGGATCCTTACAGAGAGCTCGCTTGTAGTCGTACTTGTGATTAAAGACTACTTTGAGCTCCTCCTGACGCAAAACAAACGTGCTAGCCCAGTTTGAGCCAACAGGGGCCAAACCGCGCTCTTTCTGCAGAGAATTGGCCATATTAGTCACAGCTGCGAGCTAGGGGGGTTCTCCTCGCGCAGCTAGCTCAAGTATGTGCGTAACAATCACCTGCTCCTCAGCATTGGTCAGGTTCTGTGAGTTAGCCATAGTATTAGTACGTGAAGGTCGTCCAGCGCGTCTTGCGCGAAGTGTGGTTTCAGAGGCGCTGTAACTTGTTTTACAAGCGAGCGGGCCACCCTACCAACTTTGCGCACCTCTACAAGCGTATATCTCAACAACGTGATAACATAATATATAGATGTTTGCAGAGTAAATTAAGCAGTATCTAATGTATCTTTTCTACACGTACGTGAGTTAT